GGTTCTTGCCAGAGGTTTACTTCTCTTTCAAGACTTGTGAGAAAAAGGACCAAAAATGGGAAAATTCAAATTGGGCCCGTTTGGGACCGATTGGGCCCAGTTGGGCCTGTTTGGGCCAGGGGGCCTTACGCCCCCGTTTGTTACGCCCCTGTTAGCGGCCTCTTGACCTAACATCTTGCACTTGCTCAAACCGTGATAGCGCAAGAGCTCAGATTACCTTTGTTTATGACACGTATCTAGACACATCGTGATGACCTGTTCCAGCGACTTCTTGTGTCTGCTGTCTTCATCTGCAAGTATCCTTGGTGCAAGGCTGAAACTTGGACTCCACTGGACTTTGAGCCCAATTTGGGCTCATAGAGGTGGGGATCCTAGCCTCTGACGGTGACTTGCTAGCTGAATGAAGCCCTTCATGAAGAGGTCTGAAATCTGAAAGGCCTTCTCTGGCACAAGGTCTTCGTTAGTAGGTCACGTGTCTACAGACCTGTAGTCTAGAAGAACCCTCATCTAGGATACTTGCTTACGCTCACCATGAGGCCGCGGCAGGAAGTTCAGATGGTGCTGCGGGAGTGGCCGGCAATGCCTGCCACAGGGGCGGTTCAATAGCTAAACTCCAGTTTGACACAGCTCACGTCATTCATGTTCCCAAGCTGTGACCCCTTTGCAAGACTCGCAACACTAGGGCCGAGCTCGATGAATCGAGGCATGTAATCCCTATGATTGCCTGTGGAACCGCGTAATCTGTGATCACTCGTCTCCAGCCAGAGGCTCTGAAAAGAAGAATCTTCAAATCCGAGCCTTGGGAGCAGCTGGGGCCACCCGAGGCGCATCGAGGATCTGCACGACCTCATCCTGCCAGCACTTAGCATGCATTTTGCAGAAGATCTCACGGCCAGTTACCCATGCACCTAAGACAACGAAGACAAAGCTCAAGCTTTTGTTCAATCGCGGTTTCCGTGTGATGCCCTTGATCGGATGCGCCGCACAAGCTTCCTCGCAACACTCTTCTTTTTGTAGCTTGGCCTCGTCATCATCATCCTTGATGGGGCCAGTTCCATACTTCATGGGGTCAAAGCCTGGGCTGCGCATCAGCGCTACAGTAACTGGTGTAGACGGAAGCGGGGTCACGTCTATGGTGTGGAGTGGGCATGGTGACCGACGATGTGAACACATGCATAGGTGCGTTACAGTCAGATAGAGCCAGTGGACATGGCGTCTTAGTAAGTATAGAATCTACTATGTGGAAATTGTAACTTATGAAAAGGATTCTATGTCCACCCTGCAGAGTCCCTTGCTAACCCTAGTGACCCTAGCTTTTACAGTGCCTCATTTTGCTGTCCTTGTCAAACCTTACTGAAGTACGCAAGACCTTGTTCTGTTGGCAAGAAAACGCAACTGTGACCTTTCTAGTCAGGCTGCGGTACTTTGTCTGTAGCCACCTTCGATTACCGAATGCTCTTACCAGCAGTCGCTCGGTTGCAGTCTGAATATGCGGCACCAGGACAGCATTGGACGCACACATAAACGCTCAAGTATCCTGGAGCCAAAGCTCAGGATTTTTTGTCACAGCATCCGACATCTACACCCAGTCATAAAGCCAGGCGCTGCAGGCTACGCAGCCAAGCAGGCACTCGAATGCTTCTAACGCGCAGAAGAGCCAAAGCGAAATTGGCACAAACACAGCCGCTGCACACCACAGGTTCCTTAAGAGGACGGCCATGCCGATAGTCATTCTTCTTGCGGGAAAAACAACTTCAGCTGTCTCAATGATTAGCCTCGCTTGGGAGTTCCTAAGAACAGGGGTCCCCATGGAGGATGGCAGAAAGACCCTTAACCTTAAACCCTGATGCAAAGGGAATCCAAGGCTCGGACCGTTGGCCTCTGCAGCACCCGGCCGGGAGGAGAAATACCTCAGAATCTGCCCACAAATAACATGGAACCCCCAAACGGGCTCTGTGAAGACTACGATCAGTGTGAACCTCATGGAGCCGTGCATCTGAACCCTGAATGCACCTAGGCAAGGCGCTCTGGGGTCGGGCTTTGAGTTTTCAGATTGAAATTGTTTAGGGTTTGGAGTATGGCTTGATATGCCTTTGCCCGGGACATATTGAACACCTAGCTGGTATTTTCGAAGCTGCAACCTCAAAATCTACAGGATGACTCCGATAAGGGCATTCGTTACAGACAGCCAACCACAAGGCTGGGATTGAATGTCTGTATCATGAAACATCCCCGGGCACATCGCCCCTTCTAGATATCGAGGACAGATTAGGACGACCCCCCTCCCTGTGTTAGCAATAGGAATATACAAGGACCCCAATATAATCATATATAATCCCTGTTATTCCTTTCAGTCACTATTACTGGGTGGGGGGTCCACCTAAAGGACAGAGCTCCTGGCCCCTTGGGAGGCTTCTTGCCCCATTGCCAGCAGCCATAAACCTCGCAGTCAGGGCTTGGCATCTTTGAATGAACCTTCGGTGTCACTGGATTTTTCCGAAAACTGGGGGTTCCCTTTTGGGGGGGGGGGG